AAGACAGAAGACTCTGGGTACGAGATTGGTTTCACTATGAATAGACACAGTGGAGCAATGTGCAAAAAACGCGTAGTTTTCGTTAAAATTTTGCTTTTTTATGACAGTTTAAGCCGTTCTGAACATTTATATGTTTAGTTACTGTTAAATACAATCCGATAAACAATTGTAGACATCTTGTGCTCGGTTGTTGCCGTGCTTCTTATAAACGGGATCAAATTTGATTTTGGGCCCACCCATATTAATTTAGCACGGCTTAATTGATCCAAGCGAACTAAAGCTTCAAAATGTTGTAGTAATCAAAATTTTTTCAAAATTATGCAGTTAGTTTGGCTAAAATTTGTAGTTCAGTGTCTGTATTAACACTGGTCCACAGCCGTTTCGAATTGATTCTGCTTCTGCGGAAGAGCGGCGTCTGACTCGAGCCTCTAAGTACCTTTGTTGCTAGATGTTTCCTGCTATTGTTTATATTCTCATACCTAATATTTTATCTATTCATTTGGAGTATTAAATGTTTCTTCGGATTTTTACGTATGTTGGCATTGCATTGTTTACTATTGATGGTACGCTATGAGGAAGCCCAGTAGCCAAAAACACAGCTTTCAGTAGTGGTAATTGTTCTTCCATTTTTTTTTTACTATTTCCTTTCAGTTTTTCCCCTTTTCTTGCTTCCCTTACCGACTTTAGTATATTTTAGCCCAAAAAATTATTTTTTCCTGCCTCGCGCTTTACCTAATATGGATTTCAACTCTTAAAAGAAACATTTAGAAATGGTAGTCTGATCTAAAGACTTTAATACACAAGTATAGGGAGTGTAAATTCGAATGCAAAACTGCATTCTGTGAGGCCAGCAGAGACTTTCTAAAATGAGTCCGTTTTTGGATGGGTAATTAGGTCAGCTGGAAAAACTTCTCCCGTCTCATTTCCATCGTCCCTGAAAAAAGTCGTCAGGTGGCAAATATTAGGCTGACACTAAAACTAACCAGGGCTCCAAGATTAGCCTGCGATCGTGCCCTCTCCCTTTATCTCTGTAGTCTGTTTTCAAGCGCAGAAGCACAAAAATAACGCCTGATCTCAGGTTACTCCGAGATAAACTTTCAAACCCCTTAAAAAAGAGAGTTTGATAGTACATATTGGAGCCCTTGTTAATTTTAATGCCAGCCTAAGATTTGCTACCATACGACTTACTTGAAATACGGACACCAATTAGTCCCCTCGCAGCCGCTTGGAACGGAGTCAGCAAAGCGGAAGACTAGGCACCAAAGCATGGAATAAAAAGGTGTCGCCATGCATTTATATATAGTATACACTGTAGGAATTGTATGAAGTTTTAGATCTACGGAACTAAAGAGAAATTAATGTCTGTAATAGAATTTAGGGTGTACCCTAAAGACGGTATGGGACAAAACCGACTTATCCTTTTGTTAGGTGGATTTTTCAGCCGGTAAAATAGTTTCGTATTCAAAATTTAAGGAGTGTCATCTTGATCTTTCATCTTTAAAACGTAGTGCGGCTTTTCTAGACAAACTTGAAATAGACGACTTATCGCTTAATTACTTTTTTAAAACAATGGTCTGTTGATTCATCACGTGACCAATCATGCCAACAGTACAATGCTGCTGACTCATTCCCTTTGGACGTAATTTAATTACTGCAGCATACTTGCCCGAAGAATCCATACCATCCACTGCACTGATCTTCACACAAAAGCATCTCACTTTTGGCTCTCAAACAAAGGTTTGTTTTTAGATATCGCGTTTAAAAACATTATATTTATATTTGGGATTTTAAGGTATTATTCACTTATAAATTTATTAATATGCGGTGTGTGTGGCTGTTGAAGTGTAAAGGAAAGGTATAGTCCTTTTCAAGCTTGGTCTAAAAGTGCTGGAATTGTCATATCGTCTGTTCATGCCTCGAAGAGGCGATTTTAAACTCGGATTTGACCGTATGGACGGGTTACAATATCCCCCTTGACTGGCATTTTAACTCTTTCTGCAAAGTCTCAGACGTCCGAGAAGCGAAGGGACCGCGAACAACCTCGGACGTCTGAGAATCAGGCTACGAGGAGGTCGGGATCGAAAATCGTTCTTCATAAACCTATTAGTGCTATTATTACTTATGAGTATTCTCCTCGATTTTCTTAGTTCTGAGTTAAGTCATATCCATGACTTAAGGAGCGGACTCTGTAGGGTGAAATATTTCGCCCATAAATATAATTGAAAACAATAGACTTCAGGAGGCGCGAACTTGAAAGCATGAATGCTATTTCTGGTTATTCTCGAAAAACATGCGATGTCGCTTCTGTCCACTAGTCGGTTAGCGTATACAGTGTTGTTGGCAGTGGAGTGAACCTAACAAACTGAACAAACGAAGATAAAGTAACAAAGCTAAGAAATGCCGTGTTTCTTACTCTTTCGCTAAAATCGCGTGACTTGTGGCAAAAATTTATAAGATTCGCGTGAATTATCCTTTAACTTTCAGAACATTCCAGACGCCGCCACGGATGAAGGCTCCACCTACAATTCAAGCTTAACTTCTCTCGTGCCTCATCCATCAGTTTTTTCTTTCTTTTTTAGTGTCTTTAACGGATTGTCACTTAGCTTCAAGTTGGAAATTTTATAAAAGGAATTTTCTGCGCGAAAAATGAACAAGTCTTGTCCTCCTTAAAGACTTCTTTAATAATCTAGGCTTGTAGCTTCTGTTTCGCGTCTGAACACTCAGATCCATCTATGTCGTTCGAATAAAATGTAACAATTTTAAAAAGAAGTAAAAATGACTGATCTACACTAAATTGTGCTCAAAAGTCGCGCGATTCTGCGTTAATTCGAATAGTGTATTGTCTTTGTATATACATATCAAGTGTTCTATTTACATACATTATTCATGTTCAATCATGATCAACAACTGAATTGTAGCAAAGGAAGCAAGTATTGTTTTGTGTATCTCCTGGCAGGTACCGTAAAAAGAATTATGCCGCTCCCTTTTTAGACTTCCTGCCAGCCTAACAGCTCGTCTTTCTCAAGAATCGCACTTCAACCACAGGTTTGTTAACGCGTGATTTTCATCTTCTGAGTGTTTAAGACATATCGACCAAACATGAACAGAGTGTTATGAGACAATAAATCATCTAAGGAGTAGCTAGACAGTCGCACCCTGATCTACTTAAAAAGATCAATCAAATATGAATTCAATTCAAGTCGATAGTTCTCTTGTTCATATCAGTATTTTCTCTTCCATTTTTAGTTTCTTCTTTCACGATTTTAAAATTCTTAAACTCAAGTCAAAGGGAATCATCTAACAAGTCTGACTTCATTAGTGAAGTCGTCAAGGTATGTTGACGATGGCGTCGTGTCTTGAACTTTCAATTTGATTTCTGTTTTTTCTTTTGAACACACAGCACCAACGCCTGTGTAACCTGCGTTCGAAATGAAATAAAGTAATAACAACGTAAAGCAAAATAGACTGATCTACTCAGTCTAGATTGATTATCCTAATTGTGTAGACCCTAACATCAACACAATGCCTTTCAATAGAGGAATGCGGAATCCTTTTGAATAATAATCAATTGTTCCTTTCATAGGAAAGAATCGCATTACCTGACTTCGAGAAGGGACCACGCTCTGAGCTTTGGTTTCTCTTACGACTTCCCCCAAGAGTCTACAGGTTTGTTTTAGATTTTTATACTTTCTAGAAATTTTCATCCATTCAGAGCTAACTCACGGTCAGCTTTTGTTTGGAGGGTCACAATCGATTCTTAGCCAGGCTGTGTATTCATGCTATCTCCACCCAGAGAACTGCAGGAGGATTTTGGTCAAAACAAATATGCCATGAGGGCTGCAACGAACGTATTATAGTTCCACCTGACACTCAGAGAATCAAATCTCCCGGTTTTCAAATTGCGGTCATTTCATATTTTAATTCAATGATGAACATTATTGATCTTCTCGGGTCTTCGCGTTCCTGATGACTTAGGCCACACCCATGTTAGAGACCGCGAACCCGGTACAGACAGTACAACTTTCTGTAAACAGGCTCCGTATTTTTAAGCAGCTTAAACGCGTACGTTCCTCTCTTCTTCTGAGGTTCAGATATCCTGTAATCATCTGCACTTGGAGAGAGCCCCGTTTTTAATTTTACATTATACATTCTTCGGTTTTTAGTTAGAGAGAATAATTTAACCAGACTACAAGTACATGAGCTAGTGGCTGTGGTTATCGAAGAATCATCTGAAGAATCAATGATACAATCAGTGCAGTTTGCAACAGTGATCTATAAAATTCTCCAACAGGAATAAGTCACTGGAAAGCCGCTCACATTAAATACAATTTTATTCATAACTATGATTTAGTTGACATCTAATCATGACAAAATTTTCCCCTTTCAGAAATATTCTTAAGATATCCTAGAGGAAAGTCATGTTAGACTGCGACATTTCGACACCATATGATCACCTCAGAAGCTTGCTTTCCACTTAGTGTAAAAGATCAAAGAGTGTTTTTTTGTTATAGGCTAACTTGCTGTCCACTTTTCAACAGGATTTCATGGTCTTTCATACAATTTGGCAGCCAGAAGAAAGTACTGATCAAGGTATGATTTCCATTCCTACGTTTATGTCTGGTTTATGGTTAAACTTCTGATGTCTTCTGAAAACTGGGCGGGTTTTTCAGGTCTTTAAGAATATGTGATTACGTTCAAGATGCAAAATTTTTCAGTGTCAAGAGAAGAGTATTTAACAAACTAACGGATTAAAAAAACTCGATCGGGTCAGTATAAAACTGGTTAAAGTGTATTACCGGGGCTGACGCTTTATATAAATAGAATCATGTGTTTAATTGTAACGTCGTTCAAGAGTCATTCCATCTGACATAAGCGCATCGGTTCAATTGTCCTCAAGAGTTCAGAGATAGATATAAACCACGAAAACCAAGAGAGGATAAAGCTCTTTTGATATAAAGTGCCTAATTTCTTAAGATGAAACTGATAAAGAGAAAGAAGATAATGGAAGCAGTCTAACTATTGCAGCGCTCCTTAAATTGCGTGATTTCCAGGTTCAGCACCAATTATATGACAGTTGTATTTAAAAACCGCTTCTCATTTTTCCTGATATAAGAATTATTGTAAACTTTCACAGAAAGTTTGGAGTATCAAGGACGGGAGTTCAAGGACCTCTTGCATAAATTGTCAAGAGAGAGCTTTCTGAACAGATTTTTTGCAAAAATGCACAAGATTCTGCGCACGCCGCTCAAATAAGTAATTTTTCGGGTTAACCGAGCGGGCACTGGGGCTATTCGAAGTGAAGATTTCCGGAGACATCCAGGCTTCAGAAGTGTTCTGTTTCAGTCTGTTTGTAGGGTAAGTTTCCCTCCCTGATGTACATGTAAGTTGTGAAGAAAAGTAACGTAAAAGATGTTCAGGTCTTTCTCCCTTTGGTTAACATTTACAGTTTGTCTAGCTAACAATATAGCTGATTATTTATAAGGAACTACATCTTTCTTCCAGATCGTGTGCACATGATGTCCACTCAGTGAACTCCACGTCGGTCATCTGGGAAAAGTAAGCTTAATCTTACTACGATGACTTTTATTAATAGGCATTTTTCTTGTAAAAGAAAAGGTTGTTGCTGGTGGAAATATAATTTTCTCTTTGTTTGATGCTCACAAGACAAGTTTTATCACTGCTTTAATTTAGGCACTGCTGTGCGCCGCCAAATTATGTTCGCAAAGACCATATTTGATATCTCTTTCAGTCAAATCGTGGAATCGTAGCAGGGCTGCAAATAATTTCCTGGCTGGCGCCGGTCAGATTGTCCGGTCAAACCTATTTTTGCTCGGACATATCCCATTTTTGGCCGGACAAACATCGATTACGTCTTATTGCTATAAAAGTGCCTCCTCCCCCCTCACGTGATGTTTAAATATGAAACAAGTAACTTTTCAAAGCATTTATTGTACATGAGCATCGATCTCAATGCAGGAAAAGTGGAACGCATGGTACAGCAAAATCTGTATCACATTTGTGCGTACTACTATTGCTTCAGTTCTGCGTCTTATATACGGTTAGTTATGAAGTTGATGAAATTGACTGAGGCTTGCAATCTAGTTGATTTTAAATGTTACCGTAAACAGGGAAGCTCTATCCCTAAGATGCGTGATTGAACTTTTAAAATACAATAATGGAAGAGTTCTTTTAGACATCCGAGGACATCATCTTACGGAAACGCAGTTTGGACATATAACAAGGGAACACCCGGATACACTGGAAAGGGTTTTCGAAGACGTTGATGACTATGTTCACATGTTACCTGTTTAACTGAAGTCGTTACATACCACATTGACAGCATTTGTCAAAATACAATTTCTTTCTAATCCATTGTGTTTCGACCTGTCAACGGTGAAACTTATTGCATTTTTGCTTCAGTCAAGTTTTATATAAACGACCCACGCATCATGCGTGACACGTAACCCAATGAAATCTGCGGTCAATCGTTAGAGATGAATCGCGTATTTAGACCTATTTAGGCCAGGTAAAGTTTACATGTTGTCATATCTGAATTTGCTGCTAAAAAGGTTTGTTTCCCTAGAAAATAGAATGTTTAGTTAATCGCGGTATTTAAAGCTTAAGTGATTAACACGGAAATGTCGACAAGTAGACAAATGAATGTAAACTTGCTTTCTTGTTATTGTTATTTTCACACTTAAATTTTGAAGACAAAGGGTGCCATGACCCTTGTACTGACACTGAGAGGTTTTGTCGTCCTTCTCACATCATGTTTACAAAACCCACACGGACTAATAATAAATTAATTCACACCCGTGACCGGTACACATTACCCTGGGTACCTGAGGTTTTTTCTCGCGTGCGTCGGGGAGCTTCGTGCGTGTTCGGCCGAAGGCCGAAGACACGAACGGCCACTTTTTAAGACTTGACCGAAACCGGAAACCGCGCGTGAAAAGCCTCTGGGTAGGTACACATCTTTAAGACCCGCTAATTTGCGGTGACGACTTGGTGAATGACAAAGCGAAAATGTGCAACGACAGCCGGAAATTTTATGACTACTACGAATCATTTATTAAAAGGTCTAGTAGTTAAGTATCCGTCTTTTCCCCTCCTTTTTCACAAACGCCAATAATATTAAACCTTTAAATATTTAAAACTTGAAACTCTAAATTTTTTCCTTACCAGCATAAACGACCGGACAAATTGTCCGGCCATCTAAGGATTTGCCAGGACAAAACCAATTTTTGACCGGACATTGTCCGTTGACCGGCCGTTATTTGCAGCCCTGCGTAGTGAAATGTAAGTAGGAAAAAAAGGCAAGAGGAGAAGAAGTAACTGCAGGGATCACTTGTGTTATTTGAGGTTGAATCAGAAATATTAAAATCACCCGTTTATACGTAAAAAGGTGGTAAGTGAATGATATTTTTGTTCAGCTTTGTAGATCAGTTACCAAGATACTGAAGATGTCCCCACCTGATAACACAAGATTAAAATTATTACCCTGAATGTAAGTTTATATTCTCTGTGACCTCTGCTGTAAGTGTGTTTTGATGTAGATATGATATATCTCTAAACCACATAATTATTTTGGGCAATTGCCCCTTGGGGCAGAAGGGGTGGGGGGGAGGGTACTCCCTATGATGACCTATAGAAGGAGGTTGTGCTCAATACCCTATAGGCGCATGAGCTACCCCATAGCACGCTGCAGTTGTCAAAATGTGATTGGCGGTCGTAATAGACAGCATACAAGGTGGCAGAGGGCAAACAATGATTGATGGGTTACCAGATGCAATTTTCTTAAATATAGTGTACTACAGTGTCAACATGGTTTTTGCATGTTAGATTTTCATCAATAAGCATGCTAAGAGACTTAGAGGAATGAGAATGTTTGATCAGAACATTATTTATATTTAAGGAAGGCAGAGAAGGTAGATTATTAAGCTTTTGCCTTGAGCTGTTTAATTTGAATTCAGTTTTAGTCATACAGATAACATTAATTTATTTGCAATAAGCCAGCGATTAATGTTGAGCAAGTCTTCATTCAGGAGAGCTGAATGGAGTGGATATTACCATTCAAATAAGTCAGATGGGTATCATCAACATACAGTCTTTGTTCAAAATGAAACAGCCAATTGGGCAAATCATTGATGTATAGCAAAAACAGTAGAGGCCCTAATATTTTTCCTTGGGGAATACCACGCTTGACGGTGCAACATTCTGAAAGGGAACCATTGACAAGACATTTCTGAGTATGATTATCCAAATAGGAGGAAAAACATTTATGGGTAACACCTGATATACTATAAAGATGTAATTTAGACAACAGGATATCATGATTGACTGTGTCAAACACTTTCTTAAGGTCAAGAAGAGCAACAGCATTAACGTTACCTATATCCATATTACAGGCCTCTAATAAGGCTGTATTACTACTGAATAGAGCACACGGATTCCGGATTGGTGCTTAGACAAAATATTTTGATCTGATAAATTGGCAAAGAGTTGATAATAGATAATTCTTTCAAATACTTTGCCAATTATAGAGATAACTGATATTGGACAATAATTGTCCTTGTCGCTTCTTTTGCCGCTTACTTGAATAGAGGAGTAACCCTTGTGGACTTCCAGTTGTCAGGAAATATTCATAGAGGGTATTACATGGTGGCGTGAAGATATGAATTTTATTTTTGAGTGGCAAAACAATAGTTTACGATCAGCACAGCGAGTGAGTAAAATATTGTTTTTGCCATGTGAAAATAAAATTCATATCTTCAAGCCGCTGTGTAATGTTCTTTTTATTATATAGACAAAAAGACATCGATAAAATAATAGATTTTAATATTGGCCAAAAAGTAATTGTGACGGCTCAAATTTACAGTACAGCAATATAAGACATTGTTTACAATAATCTTCAGAAATAACACTGAGCTGAATAGGGCACTACAGTGACAAAATATCAGCAAAGCTTTGAAAAATGTGTAAGTAAAATTCAAAAGACGCAAGAAGCCTACAAATTTCGGATGGAAATTACGGAAATTACGTCATCAATAAACTCACGTGTGAGATTATGGAAAATAAACCACTCGGGTCCCGGATGTAGTTTTTATGAATTTTACGAGTGGTTTATTAATCCAGTAAAATTTAATATGTAATAATATGAGGTGCAAATTAAATCAGCACAATCTATAATAAGCTGACTAGATATTCCATCTGGACCAGCACCTTGAGATTTATTTGGTTTTTAAAAAGAGACAACACCTAATTACAATCGGTGGGCATGAATTTGGACTCTTTTGCTTTAAAGGCCAGAGGTATTTAAATATTTCTTGAAAACTGGAGCCATTGTTTTAAGGTATTTCGCAAGTCAGTTTTGGGCCAATTGTGGAGAAGAGATCATGGAAAGTGTTTGACAAAGTGGTGGAATTAGTTATACAAACTCCATTCAGACTTAATTCCTTACCATATTGACCTGCCGGATTGATGGGAAGTAAGCTCATTTATGAGCTGCCACATTTTATGCAGGTCACCTTCAGATTCGCTAAATTTGTTTTTATAAAATAATTCAATAGCCTGTTTGATTTTAGCATTGACTTTGTCATTGCATTCTTTTAAAGCAGACCCAACTCTGCGAATCAGATTGGACCTAATTGCTTAAAGTGTGTTATCAGCGGTTAAAAAGGGATACAAAGTTCTAAACTGGGTATGTGAAAGGGACAGTACCATATTTTGTCAAAAGAAGGTAGACGAAAGGGCTACCTTTTCTGTCAGAATGGTATTTCATAGGGTAAGGGGTTGGACCTCAGGGCGGAGCCTCCCGGCCTGTATAGAACTTTGTTGAGTACCCCCTCCCCCGGGAGCAATCCATGGTGTTGTTGTAGTAATTTGCATGGCTTCAAAATAGGATTATATCTCATATTTTGATGTCATCCTTACCATCTTTTTGTTGTTTTTAGGATTTTATGTCAGTTGAATAAAACACATGCATACAATGAGTTAGATGGTGTGAAGCTATCAAAGGAGAAGGTCAGTAATTTAGCTGAGTTTATTAAATTGATTGCAGTAAAATGGCAAACGGAGTTAAGATTGTAAGCTTAATTAAAACGTTCTTGCATCACTATACCATATTATGCCTTGATCACTATTTGTTTGAACCTCTAATGACATGGTACAGTCAAACCTTTGCTAATATAATGGACCCCTCCCCTAAGCATAGACTTCGTCATGGTCCCAGTAACTAATACTGAAGATCAAGTGCATTTTTGGTCGACCTTCCTTGAGTAAGAATCTCTCATAAATTGCTCTTGGTCCTTGCAGACACTTACAAACACTGGATATTGATCTTTGTGAAATGGACCCCTTTCCATAGTGATAACTAGTTGTGGACCCTACCAGGAAGTTAGGAACACTGCATGTTGACCTTTGTGAAGTGGATAGACACCTCTACTAAAATTGGACACTTAAACTATTCATGGACTCAGAGGCACTTACAAACACTGCATTTGACCCTTGTGAGGCAAACACGCACCTCAATCTCCTACCTGAAGGTGGATGCTTTCCCTGGTCACTGTGGTGTCCACTAAGAGAGGTTTGACTCTCTAAAAATATGGCTGTGATATAAAGTAATTTATTGATAATTTATGTTTCATTAAGTTGTTCAAGTTATTTAATGTTCAGCTAGTAGTGATCATATTAAATTAAATTTACACTCTTTAGGGAATCTTTAACTGAGACTCAATGGCGCAGCATCAAGACCTTAAAAGAAAAGGAGGTGCTGATCCTGATCATCAGATGTCAAGAAATCATGTCCCTCCTCCTCTAAGTATTGAAGTGCCTAAAATGAGTGATCTTCCAAACAAGTTAAACCCTTGGAGTGACGTCCAGCTTCCTGTTGACATTTTTTTGTTGACAGTAGAAGACTGCGAATTTTTAGCTTGTTATACTTTCTTGAAAAATTCTTTTAAAAGTTATCACCAGACCCTGGGATACGTGTACTTTGGGACCATGGGTGAAAGTGGAGAAGAGACGCTGAAAGTTGCTTTAATGAGATGTGATAAAGGTTCTTCAGGTCCAGGTGCCTCTCAAATTGTTATTAAAAATGCAGTGATGCAACTGAGACCCAAGGCTGCTTTTTCCATTGGCAGCTGCAAGGGTGTAAACCCAGTAAACACCAAGCTAGGAGATGTAGTGGTGTCCTCTAAGCTTTCAACTGAAGAATTCACAACTCCAGTAAGAAGAAATATTGGCAAACTTAACTTGTTTTCAGCTGAAGGCTGGAATCCACCATTAAAAGATCCAGGTGAAGAAACAGCAGTAAAGGTACACCATGACAGTGACATATTCAGTGGTAGTCAATTCATCACCAAACAACATCGTATGTCTCAATCACATGTGATTGCAGTTGAAAGGGAAGGGGAAGGTAAGATTATGTCCATTATTACTATAATCATAACAATACAGTACCTAATATTGCCAATCATGTTTGACTACGGGACATGGTGACAGTGTGATTTAATTATTGTGGGGTGTGGTATTTTTATTATATTATTATTGTGCCAGGAGCATAAATTATTATTAAGCATAAAAGATTGTAAATTACAGTCACTACACTGCAGAGAAAAATTCTGAGCTAATTTGGCTGTGCTAGATTCTTGTTCACAGTGGATTGTAAGGATCACCGTCTGTTTTTTTTCTTTCCACTTTCAGGACTGTTTGCTGCAGCCCATGATATGAACATTGAATGGGGGATTGTTAAAGGGATATCACATTTTTCTGATGATAGTAACACTTCTGATGAGTCCTGGAAGTCATTTGCTTCCGTCATGGCAGCTTCTGTTGTGTCCAACATGTTAAATGATCCTGTTGTTTTTAAAGAATGGCCTCACTATGAAGGTATGTCACATCCCTGTTCTAGTGATTGATAGTTATAATAGTGATGAATTTTCTGTTCAGTTATTTTTGTGTAAACTGTTTCAATATTATCCTTGGTTCAAATTTTTCTCTCTGTTTCAAACTCAAATCATACAATTAATATTAAAATACCAAAATAATAACAAAGACCAAAAGAAAAACTTGTTTTAGGGGATTTTCAAATTTATAATACTTTTCTTCTATTCAGACTTGACAGCAAAGAATCAGCCAGAGACAACCACAAAGCCAGACATGCAAACAGATACCTGTACTATCCTGTCAATAAAATTACACTGTATCCAGGAGCATTTCCAGATTAGGGCATGTTCAAACACAAAATGGCGAAATAATTCTCCTAAACAGTAAAAGCAAATGACTCCCTGTTTTTTTGTCGTGTCCATGCAGTTGTTATTTCTTTGCCTTCTATGAACCGCAGCAATACTCTGCTCAGCATGCAAAGCCTCACTAATCTTGTTGTTGTCACTTTCTGTTCATGACTTATCGCAGTCATGTGATCTTTCTTGTTCCAAGGGTCTCTCCTCTTCCCAGGGGCTTCTCGGTTTTCAAAATGGTGTCAGTTTTGTTTCCCCCAGGGGATCGAGGGGGGGGTACTCAAACAATAAGTGAGTAATAATAGTTTTGTAATAAGTGAGCCGCTGAGGGTTTGAAACCTGACCCAGTTTAGGACAAAAAAAACCTTTAATACATGCCCTGTTTAGGACAACACCCGGCCTCACTTTTATTACTTATAATGTATTGTCTCCGACAATTTTTATTAAAGGACAAAATGCACGCTGTCTTGTTTTTAAGCCATTTATTGGCAATTTTAATTAAGCAAATTCACATTAGAGTTATTGCTTTTGTATACTTTGAGTGCAAACAATGTTCATCAAGAGAATCAGATCAATAGGGCAGGCATTAACAAATATTACCCTGTCCATAATTAGGACAGACTCACACAAAATTATTTACCCGTTTTAATTTGTACATGTAGAACTCTTAGCAATTTTTTTTGTCTTTGGACTCTTTACACCTTCATCTTAACATACGTTTCCCCACGGACGAGCTATTTTCGGCGTTTGATGATGAGCTTGCGCGCGTACATCACGCAAGCTCTGCGTGACAACAATCTCGTCACCAGAGCCTTCAAATCAGATTATGGCTGCGCAAAAATCGCTGTGCGTTAGTGTGGAGTGCGTGTGACAACTCCACCTAAAGAATTATAGTAGGGAGGATTACAAGTAAAAGAAAAATTTGTATTATTTCTAAATAATTGTAGTCATTTTGCTAATTCGTCATTTTGTTATTTTGCCATTTCGTCATTTCAGCATTTTGTGTTTTAAACACGCCCTTCCGGATTAAATGATTGATGAATTAACACTGGTTTCAGTAGAAATAACACTAATCTTTCAATATAGTTGTTTTTCGCATCTAGAGCACAGTTTTCTCATATTATTGTGAGAGATGTCTTTGCCAAGAGAGCAGTCTACTTTTGCCGGGTGTTTTATAACCCCTTTTTTCTTTCCTGGAAATTTTGCTGAAAATGCTGTTGGAAGCTCATTTTTTTTATCCATTTTCTGATCGCTATCTGGCCAAAAAGATAGGCCAAAATTTTCTAAAATGCTGTAAGTCCAACACTACACTGCCTTTTGTTCCTTATGCTAAAATAAAATTAATGTAAGTGTTGTTTTGAAAAGAGACACAACCACCTCAACATTCTGCTGTTGCTTTCTCTCCTCCCTACTTCTATCACTTTCCCTGCCCCATTTTTGCCTTATCTTGGGGATTTACTAGGCTTCTTTTAGGTGAGACACATTTTTGGGAAAACATTTAGCACCATAGAAATTATTTTGAAGGAAGAGCAGATGGGAAATGAAACTTCTTGAAAACATTCTTGTCTTTGTTTCAGCTGTGTTTGAATTATTCAATAATTTAGGAACTGTCTAAGGAAATCCACAAAATTGAAAATGATGTTGTGGTATAGTCTCAGTCTATCTATACTATCCACCCACCCACCCATCTACAGCTAGCTCTGACCTGATATGAGTCACCCATAGGTCAGTGGTTAGAGCATCCTATCGGTTTCTGGAAGGTTGTGGGTTTGATTCCAGTTAAGGTTTTGGAGTTTTTATTTTCTGAGCATTTCTTTGTTGTACGTAATATTTATTTTTGGCAATCATTCATCCACGTGCTGTTTTCTCTTATTAATTTTTGTAAATTGACTCTGCCCCTCCTGGTAAGGGATGCTAGTAATCAAGTGAATCAACTACTATTAATTATTGAAAAAAACCTTCTTGGAACTGACAAACGATCCTTGTTAACAGGTGCTGATGCTGTTTGCCTTGAGGAGTGCCAGAAACAGCTGCGATCACTTTATGAAACCAGTAGCAAAGTCAAAATCATTCCATGGGACCAGAACTCTGCTGTTGATATTGATGAGATCTACACAGACTTGTCTTGGGTCAAGGATCACAGGACACCCAGAGGAGTAACACAAGAAGAACTTAACCACTACACTGAGATTTTCGGCAGTCGAGGCCCTCGTCCTGCGCCTAAGCGAATTTTGGTTTATGGACAGCCAGGTAAGTGAGTGAATTGAGTAAGAATTGTCTTAAGTTAATTAACTGGAGAATAAGTATTCTCTGCCCTCACCCACTTTTATTACTTTGCGTTCCCAACCAAAACCGCCATGCTACGCAGGCTAGCGAAAAACAAGAACACAGGAACCCATTGTTCTACTTGTATAATTAATCCAGCAATTTATCAACTGGTGATGTGCAGGTTTCTTGAGTCTTTTGCTGACATTATGTACATTTCCAAGTGGGGTAATTTTTTACCATGCTGTCAAACCCAATGAAAAGTTTGGTTTGTTGCTATTGTAAATAAATATTATTAAAAGTTTAAACAAAGTTTTTTTGTTAACCAGTCTGATAATAAACAATGTATTTAATTGGCTTTAGAGCAATTATCATAACATACACTGTAGACTCCAATTAATGTTGTAATAATGGTAATAAAATTGTGACTTAATTAATCTGAAATTCAAGTTTATTAAATGTATGCTAAAAGGATAAACTAAAAAAAATCTTTCAGGGATGAAATTGTACCACAACCTTCACAATAGACTAATGACTGGCAGTTTGGCCCAGTTCACGGTTGAAAGCCATAGCGCAAGCCTGGGGTTAAATTTTAACCCCGGTTTCTTTTTCTTTTTAACAAAAGAATTTCTTGGATAATTTTTTTAAATTTTTTAATTTTCTTTTTAGAATGTCGAATCATCAAATTGTAGACAAAAAGAATTAAACTGAATTTGCTTTTCAAGCTTTCATTACTGAATTCAAATTTCGCACTAACCCTGGGTTATCTTAACCCAGGTTTGAACAACCTGGCCCTAATAATAATAATAATGATAATAAAAATAATAATAATAATAATAATAACTTTATTTTAGTGTCAATGTATTAAGCTTAACAGTTAGCCAATAAGGGACACTTTTCTAAGTGCTAGCACTAATCTATTACATGATTTTTAAAAATAGTCTGTGACTATGAAGGATTCAGTTCCATTGTCTTTATCATGAATAATTTTGAATATGTAAATGAGATACCATTATCGATGAATGAAACTTTCATCTTTAATCAAAGCTATAAGAATTCCAAAATGCCTCCTTCGAGCCAGGGAAACTTCTTTTTGGCGTAACTATAGAGGCAAAGGCTACCCATATGTTGTTCACTCTGCATGTGGTATAAAAAGTTTAAACATAATTCCGTAAAAAGAAAAAGAAGAAGAAGAATTTTTCTTTAAGTTTTATGAAAGTTAAAAATTCACATTTCGATATTTTAGATTCCACGTCACGTCACTTCACATGATAAAAGTAAACTGACAAATCTGTTGAAGACGTATTGACAGTTTGTTCATATTGTCACCTAGGTATCGGCAAGACTGTTTTCACGAAGAAAGCAACTTTTGACTGGTCCCAGCAGAGATATTCAGAAACATTAGGAGCATTCGATCTTGTCCTTCTGGTGAGATTACGTGACGTTAGTAATCTCCAAGATGTTCCGTCCATTCTGGGGGCTTCTGAAGTGCTGGATAGTAAAGGTGCAATTTCCGTAGACAACCTGTATGATTACGTTTGTCGCCATCAAGAAAAAGTATTGCTTATCTTGGACGGCTACGATGAGTATGTTTATAGTTCAAAAAACGAGTCTCCTGTCTTCCAAATCTGGAAAAAAAGTCAGTTAAGAGGTTGTTGTGTTGTAATTACTTCACGGGAAATGAAAGCTGAGACGTTGAGAAATTGTAGTGATGCTCAATTCAAAATTGACGGCTTCAATCGTCAACGTCAAGAAGAGTTCGCTCGTAGATTTTTGAAAGATGATGAAGATATTGAAGAGTTTTTTATGTACTTAAGGCAGCACAACCTAAGTGAACTAGCACAAATTCCCCTACTGCTCTTAATGTTGTGCTTGCTCTGGACGAAAACAACACGTGAAGAACTACCAAAAGAACGCGCAGACATCTTCGCCCAGTTCATGACGACCATGTTTGATCACATGTGTGAAAAACTGTCTGCTGAACCGGTTTCTGCCAAAGATTACTCCGATGAATTATACGGATTAGGACGCTTGGCCTTTGAAGCCCTTTTGCAAGGCCAGCTTTATTTCCCTGTTAGTCGGTTACCTGCTGGCTACAGTTTGATCGAGAGGCTGATTGAAGTCGGCCTTTTTCAGGTTTTAAATATGGCGAGTTTGAATCGTGAAAAAGGCGTGTACTTTATTCACAAATCCGTACAAGAGTACTTGGCTGGAAATTTCCTGAAAGAAGAGCTGACATCTAAAAAGGCTGAAAGTACAAATTCCCTCTTAAAGTTGGACTCAGTTAACAAGATCCGAGAGATGATTGAGGTTTTAAAATTTGCTGTTCAGTTGTCAGAAGAAGCCGCGCGCGACATTCTGATTCAACTTGGAATGGCGGCGAAGAAAGCAGAACTGACAGAGTTTAAATTCGACAACGAAACACCGTCACAGGAGGACTTGTCAAAAGAACAAAGACATTTTATTAATCTTTGTAATCAGTTATTTTTCTACTGCTCAGCTGAGACAAGAAAAAACCTCTTTCCTACATTTCTTTCCTCTTTAGGAGGAGTTCTTGTAATTGATGATAAGCAGCTAAATATTATCGTACAGGAAAAATTAGTTCAAACTACCGAAAAACCCAACTACGTTTTTTTTAATGAAAACTATATCTATACAGAGCAGGACTATAGTAATTTAATCATTTTAACACAACAATTAAACGCAGTTACTGTTAGCTCTGCAGGAGAAAAGAAAGCATCAGAATTTTTAAGCAACTTAACATGGCGTAGCATTGATGAATTTTTTTTAAAGAAAGAAGAAACCAACACTCACCTTTATTTAGCTGAAATTGTTAAAGTTGAAGAGGAACACATTCCTTTTCCTTGTGATATAATCAAGGCGCTTATTAGTAAACAAGAGACAACAAAGAAGACAAACATGAATGGTGATGAGTCAAGTGAAGAGAGCAGCAGCAGCTGTTGTTCAAAGCGTCATGGTCTCTCCAGGGTTTGTTGGATTGAAGCTCTTGATGTGAACAGGTCAGAAGTGGAACTGATCAGTGAGATCATGCAGTTTATCACCGCTCCACACTGGATATGGGTTCGGGGTAAAGACGGTGAAGTGTTTGATGCTGAGTTAACAGAGTCTCTGATGAGGAGCATCCCAATAACACACAAACTGAAGAAATTAAACCTCCAGGATATCAATGTAACATCATCACCTGCTGTGGAGTTGTTCATCAACAATGTATTTAAAAAAGCACCAAACTTGGAGGAGCTCGACATGTCATACAATCCTCTTCCGGGTGCAGGAGTAGACAGCTTGATTAAACATCTCAGCTGCGCTCCTCACCTGAAGACACTGAACCTTAAAGGAGTGAAGATGACTCCACAGCAGGTGATGGATCTGTCATCAGCCATCAAGCAGCACGGCAACATCACTTATCTGTGGTCATACTACCACGTAAGTTTTCCAATTTTATCACTATTTGTTTCTTTATTCTTTGTTTACAGTTTATTTCTACTCAGCTCTTGCCTTTCGCCATTTTGATTTCTTTGTCATTTTTATACTCGACAAAACACGAGATTTACTTTTGAAAACAAATCACAAACTTTAGCAGATTCAAAGTATCATTTCAAATTCATTCCCTTCAACCGATTAAACTAAATTCAAAAAAATGTTTTAACCGAGAACAAGTAAATTAATGTGAAGGTGTTTTCACTGTGCAAAATAATGGATCAGCGAGCAGATATGAAATTTCTCTTCGAGTCTGGTTCAACTCGATATGAGCTCACTTAACAAACTTGTGATATATGTATTAACACAAAAATTCCATAGTATTAATTTCTCAATCAATTTTAATTCATTACTTTTTATAAAATGATGAATAACAAGCATAAAGTCAAAATATGTTCTGTTCATGTTGAATTCAAACAAACAAAATTTGCAAATATCAAGAGAAAAAAGGTTAACCACTTACAGTTTCACTTTTATCGCTAAGGTTTTCGTAAAATCAGCTAAACTCAAGTAAAGTTTCTTTGAGTGTCCAGAAAACGAAGAAGTCTTTTTAGAGCTGTCCTTTTGTTTGAATGTCCCTTGCGTTTCGGTAAATGCTTGTCCTCCCGTAAATAATTTCACGGTAGCGTAGGTTTTTGAGATAGCGTTCCACAAAAAATATAATTCCTCTGAGACACTTTGGTTGAAATTTAACACCATACATTTAATCATAGGTAAAAGCACTCCTCTATGGTACTAGCTGTCTATTTTTGTCGGTTACTTGTTTTCCAGTTTTACGACAAACACAACAAATCCTGCGTCACTTCGTGTCTTGTATGAATGAGTTGAAGTTCATAAATGTAGTTTCCTTTAGCTTGCACAAATCCTTTGATAAATTCCTGAGTACATGAGACGAATTTTTTGTTAACTGGCATTTTACGGTGTTTTCTCATTCTTTTCGTGTCCATCTTGAGTATTTTTGCGTTGAAAGTTTTCTTTGATGAGCAAACTCGACTGAAGTGAACAACAAACTACAAAATCAACAAACTGTCATTCAAAGTGGCGTAAGAGAAGGCTTGTGACGTGGCGACAGCTGATTGGTTATATAACTACCCACGTGGTAGAATTTCCCCGCCTTTTGTTTGGCAGCGCAGCAAGCGTTTCTTCGCGTGTCTGCAGATTTCTGCGCCTCCCCTCCCAACCCCCACTATTATGGAAAAACCGATCTGTGAGAATTTTATCAGACTAAGAGATCATGATGGGATTATGCATGATCTCTTGATCAAAGTAATTTTCCAAGGTTTCAATAATTCACACTTGTAGAGTATATTGTGCGATTTTGCTGTTTTGAAAGTCTTGGGTTGAAAAGTAGAATGTGCCGGGTCTTTAAGCTGCGGGCACCTTCTGGCATGCGTCTAAGAAGCCAGATGTATTTTTTGTTCGTTTTGTCGTTTCCCCCTCTTTTTCGTATTTTTAACTCCTTTTTTCAACAGAACTTTAATTCGTGAGGCCCTGGGTTTTTTTGCATGTAGGTAATTTCTAAACACTAACGCACGAAGATTCGGAAATTTGGGGTTCACAAGGAAAAATCAGTAACTTGCCGCGGCAGCAACCTAATTTTGAGACACTCACTAGAAAGTTTTTTTGGCACACCAGTACTCGCAAGACCATTCACCGTACGAAATTACAGTTTAAGGCATGTAGATTTTAAGACCTTGAACTAGAAAAGGCCTTGGAACGGACTGAAAAATGAGCAAAATTTCTTGTTTAGTCCTAAATTTAGCTTCACTAAAATAATAGACTTGACTAAATTAAAGAAGAAAAACAGTTTTGTCGCAAGCAGAAATTTCTATAGTACTAGTTTGACTATGTGTTGTAGAATGACCTCTTTTCGGGGTGAAATCAGCTTGAACCTTACCCAGATTGGTCTCTAGGGGGGGGGGTAACATTCTAGTTGTCCGATGAGTATTCACGTCCCCTTCACATAGTAGTTAACCCCAGGGGTTATTTTTACCCTTTCATTGCTTATCACTTAAAGAAAGCTTTTAGACTACAATTTCGATCTTTTAAACGTTGCTTTAAAAGTTGATTGGTGTTTGTGTTATTTTGTGATTTGTTGTAGGTTTATGGGGAAAGCGGCAACCCTAAGCCTGAACATGAATGGCCATCAGAAGAAGATTGGAAAAGGTGGTACCCCAGTCTCTTTTCTCACTCATCAAATGAATCACAGCCGAAAAAACAACAGGTTGGTAATCAACTTTGCCAAAAAGAGTATGCTTTTTCTTCACCTTTTCAGGAGTTCACATATCATAAGGTGAAACTGGGGGAACATGCAGGAAATGTGTTTTGTATCACAGTAGTTTCAGGCTCTTTGTTTTGTCTTGTCGCGATTTCATAAAAACTGATTCAAATCAAAACAGTGGATTTGAATATATGTCTTATAGTAACAAGTTATAGCTCACTTCTTAATCTTAGTTTTAGTCATACCAAAACGGTTCTGTTACAAAGATGGCTTTTAATTGTGGACGTTACTGTCCGAACAATATTGCAACGGACTGCGATCAATTTCGGAAATACCTCTCGTTTTAAAAGCGACCTTCATAGGTGTTTTACCGTTCGGGAAGTCGATTTAATCGTTTTAAGGGCACTTTGAAAAAACTTGCTGATTTTCGTAAATGAATGTTTTACAAGCCGGATTTTGGAAGAAAATGTGGATCCTTGTGATTTTAAATGACTTGAAAATTTCACCGTTATCGCTGTAGTTGAGCATTTTTACGCATTTTAAGCGGCAAACATGGAGCTGAAGGCTTGGATCAAACCAGTCAATAGTAGACTGAGGTTCTGTCTTTGTATAGTTTTGTTTCTACGACTTACAGAAGAGTTTCTTTTTGCCCAATCATCTTATTGGCTCATGAACTCCTAGCCTGTTCCAGGAGTTCAGATAGTGGAATGTGCCACTCTCCACTATCTGAACGCCAGGAACGGGGTCTCATTAACTCTTGTTTTCTTTTACCACTCGCACAGATTCTGGCAGAGACTCCTCCCCTCGGTATTCACGATTCACCATTCCCCGCTGACGAACAAGACACCGTGGGAACATTTCCAGCGCCTCCTAATCCTACTGGTAAGGTTTTTTTGTCCCCTACCCCCCTTCCCCCAGTTCCCCGCCTTCCCAATCACAGATCATCGGTAACAAAACCTATTGGCGACTAACACCCTGATCACTAACAAGAAGTTGTACATGAGTTCGTTGCGGTCAGATGTCAGTTTTCTTTTCTGAGATTTCCTTTTTTTAATAATTGCGGTGTAGACATGCGAAAAGTTGCTGTTGTTACATCCTGTCATGAAAGAAATGGGATTTCCACGACTGTTTATTCATTAGTCTGTTTATAGACCAAAAAGATACTCTACGCAGTACTACCCGGCATGAGCATTAGGCCTTGCCGCCATATATAGAAACGAAAAGCATGTTAATAGTTAGAACAGTCACTGAGGAAGTTTAAAAGGAAATGATCCTCTTTCTCCTGTTCCGATGTTGATATTTTCTGGTGTTACCCAAGTGAGCGTTGTTTGCACAAATTATTTAAACTTAAGTAGTAAAACGAGGGGGCATGACATTAAGAAAAGATAAATGTTCTAGAAGTCTATCAGTCTGAAATCGGTGGTTTCCTTTATACCATCATGTGACGTGAGATACTTATTTCTGCCTTTAGCTGATCCAATGTTAGCAGTGCCGTCCATTCCTACAGTGCATGGATCCAATCACGGTCTGACACCTGCTGCACCCTTCAGTGGTACCCCCCTTCATAACTTTCAGTATCCACAGCATTACTCCTCCCCTGATATCCACACCTATCACCACAGTATCCCATCCACCATCTTGACACCTGGAGGATCCTCGGGTTATGATTCGTATCTTTTCAGAGGTTCTGGCCTGTCTACGGTCACACAGGACGGGCCCGAGGTGGGTTGTTTGTCTATTAATGAGGCAATGAGGTTGTATTCACGAAATTGTTATTAAACATTGGCTAGGATTTACATTTGCCGAGAGAGATTTCATGGAACAGGCGCCTTCTCAATAAAAAACGTTTTAAAAGGAGAGTTATTCAACTTCGCTGGGCTATAAAAGTGTTAGAACTCGACGTACAACCCTGTAACTAACCTCTCTATTAGGCTAAAAACTCTGCCGGTAAGACGGACACTGGGTGCTAGTTTTCCAATCATTCTACTGTAACTAAACTCTATATACTAGTAACACGCGGACAGCACTCTCTGACGGACAATTGGAGTTGGTATCCATCTTAGAGAGAGTTAACTATAGACAGAAAGGCTCATGCTCAGTATATCCAAAGAGTCAGCTGGTTATTTCCCAGATCATACACTTAGTTGAGTGATCTTAAAACTGTCAAATGATTGTTAGCCGGAGATTGATACACGTTTACTTTGGTTCCGTACCGATATTGATTAGTCTTTCTTTGGTCCCTTGTTAGAGGGACACTCTCCTTAGTACTCAGGACGTGCCGTCACACAATCCTGGAACAGCGAGATCAGTTCCAGAACCTCTCCATTCTGCTGGTAAGGTTTCCATCCGTGTTACAACTAAAACAAAGTTCTGCAATTTAATAGGCTAGTCACACCATGACTGACTTGAGTACCAATGAGACAATGTACAGGACTTAACGTAGTGCTGTAACTTGTATTAAACGGTCCTGTCTTCCCTACTACAATACACAGATACAGGCCCGGGTGTTTTTAATAGTTGGATAGCGCTATCCACCAGAAAAATCACTAACCAGAGGATAAGTATTTGAAAAATCGACACCTTTATCCATTAGATATTGAGATACCAAGTGAACAGCACTATTCACCTTTTTAACAGCTAGCGCTGAGGGCACTTTTCTCCTACAGTCTGTCTTCTAATATCTCCAAACTGGACTTTTTCTTGTGTTGACTTAAGTGGGCGTTGCTTTAATTTCTAATATTGTACAATAACCTAAGAGGGCGTATAATGCTAGAAAAGCCTAAAAGGAGAATACTTAAAGAACACGAGTGTGAAACCTGTCGTTTACACTGCACCTTTATGTTAACTCGTGGGGTCTTAATTTTTATTTTATTTTCTCTAGGAGCTCCCATTCCTACGTCGCATTTCTTCAGCCACAGCCTGGCACCCTTCAGTGAACATCCCCTCCGTTACGGAGTGCTGGAATCACCATTGCAGTCATTGCAACCGCGAAGTACAATTCCAGGGTACCCGCATCCCCGCAGTTCTGGCATTTCTACAGTTGCTTTCCCTCCTGTTCACTCTGGGTATCTTCCCATGCGTGGAATGCTGGAACCGCCACAACAGAGAGTTCAGCCCCCAAATACAATGCCGTTTGATTTAAATCTCGCAGGTTCCGCTGTCACTTACCCGCAAGAAATCCCGGCATTTGTTCCCCCACTTGGAATGCAAGGAGCGCGTCTCCAGGGATTGCAATCGCAAATTACGATGTCAGATGATCCATATCTCATTGGTCCTGGCGTATCAACCCATACCCACTCCACAGTTAATTTGGAAAGTCTCCTCCCTCATGAAACGCTGCGATCCCCGCAGTATGGATTTCATTCGCAAAGTGCAAGTCCAAGTTATCCGCAACTTCAATTTAGTGTTCCTGTTACGTCTTCCGTGATACACACGCCAGTAATCCCCGGAAACCGCATGAGAGCCCCACAGCTGGCATCGCAGCCACAAAGTACAAGTTCAGGTGATCCTTATCTTAGTGGTCCTGTCACGCCTTCAGTCACGCACCCGCAAGTAATCCCCGGATATTCCTACCCGTATGGAAACTGCATGAGAACCCCACTGCTGGCACCGCAACCGCAAAGTGCAAGTTCAGGTGGTCTACATCTTAGTGGTCTTGTTACGTCTTCAGTCACGCACCCGCCAGTAATCTCCGGATATTCTAACCCGTACGGAAACCGCACGAGAGCCCCACTGCAGGCACCGCAGCCGCAAAGTGCAAGTCCAGGTGATTCGTTTATTAGTGGTCCTATTACGTCTTCAGTCACGCACCTGCCAGTAATTTCCGGTTTTCTTTCTCCGCACGGAATACGAAGTTCGCCACTGCCTGGTATGCAGGGAGGAACTTCAGAAGTTCAACACGAACGAAATCCTTCGACTGAATCTGGTACTCGGCCCAGTCAATAAGTGGGAATGAATTTCTTATGGTGTAAAATTGTATAAATTTTCTAATTTAAGCCTAATTTGTGCTGCAGTTGTCTTTGTAATATGTATTTATCACTTTCTCGAAAAAACATCTGTAATTCTTCAGTACAATCTGGCAGCGAACACAACACATTCTTTTGGATGAATCTAACGCAAGTTTCATAAGCAAGAATACTACAGTGTACAAAAATTCCCAAAAATGTAAAATATGTATAAATTCTAATTTTTTCTCGTAGATTTTCAGTAGATTTCTTGTGTATGTATTATTCTAAATAGTATTTAATAAAAGTTTTCGTCTGGGAAAAACTGTAGTTCTGCTGTGCGATTTCTACGGTCTTTAAGTGTGGTGTAATATCAAACATTTGACAGTGTTTTATCACCAGATGAAACACCTCGAAGTTCGTCAAAAATACTCCGCTGGTTCATCTGGAGATGAAACACTGCGTTTCATGCTTGATAAATTACATAACATTAAGAACACGCACCTCAAAATTGTTTCGGTGGAATATCTCTCCTTTAAACACATAAAACGCCTTTTACTTTTCTGATCTCGAGAAAGGATTTGTTTATAAACTTACTGTTATTGTTACCCTGTTTCCCTTTGTCATAACATTCCCTGAGGTGGGTAGTATCAATAAGGTATAGCCAGCTCTTAAGTCAGAACTACTCGTAAAATGTGATTACTAAATGTGACTAATCTTCTTAGGTGTCATCTCAGTTCTCTTCGAAGTGTTCCCTGACATTACTGAAATAGTTTTTCAAGCTTTGTAATAGTTTTTAATAGCTTTCCTTCCATCCCAGTCTCCCACACAACGCTCTAATGGAACACGCAGTACCCACCCACTCCACCCTTAACTTATACTATGCATCTGACTATGTTAGCAGAGGTGACCAAAGGTCACAATAAATAGTCTACAAATTTAAATTGTGATGATTTTCCATAGTTAGACATAATTTTACTAGGCTACACAGCATTTTTAACGGAAAGAAGCTTAATATTTTGAGCATAATGAGCAGGTTGTTACGTTAACTAAGTATTTTATACGCACTTGCCCTTGTTTCTAATTATCGGTTAATGAAATATCAGTAAATAAAACAAAAACAAAAAAAAAAACACCTCGAACGTTTGACATTACAGGTCCAGCCGAGCCTGTGGTCGCAAGAAAGTCTTTCTCCTTATTAGCCTGGGGACACAGACGCCATTAGCGACGCCACTAACGGTTTCCCCGCGAAATAACGTCTGAGAAACCAGCGCAGAAATTCCATACTGATGACGCGTTTATCCGCCCTGGAAACCGTTAGTGGCGTCTGTTTTCTCAGGTTACTTTCTCCTCTCTTTTTATTGCATTCCCACTGACTGAAAATAATGTGGTTCTGTCTTGGTTTACTAGGGTAATACCATCGTCTTTGTGAAGAAACGATGGACCGATGGGAAACTGGCACGGTAACTGCACTCTAATTGTCAAGTTAAGAATTGCGCCCGCGTTATCCTGTCGGCAACGGCAGGAGCGGAGAAGCATGAGTGACATGCGTACATCATCAAATCATTCCAAGAACGATAGCTCCACCGATGATTCTAATCACAAAATCATCATCGTCGTCTGTGGTTTGGCGAATTTGCGGTGTTCTGCTGGGTGCCGCCTTGACTCCGCCTGTGGAAAGCATGAGCGAAATGGGTTCTAACGAGTTCACTACGTGCGCGCGCGCGCAGCCATGTACGTATGTGTACATTCTCATCCTCAGGGCCCGTCGGTTTTTTTGAAGTGGTCTTTGAGGGCCAACCGAGGGGGTGGCTCTAGTGACGAGAATAGAGACTTTAAGATCAAACGACGCGACGGCAATGAGAACGTCGCTTAAAAGGTGAATTTGCGTTCTTACAGTCTTTATCGCAATTATTCGTACCCACTTACTATGCCAAATGTAGACGAACCATTCTAGGGTTGAATTCCTAGGGACCATATCCAAGTACAGAAAGAGAAATAGAATTTCGTCGTTGCTTGTTTACGTCATCCACAAAAGTCGAAATTAGGCATTTTCACGTCGTAGTCGTGCAAAACCGGGCAAAGAAATGTACAAAAAAGCGCGGTGCACGTGCAAAGTTTTTGTTCTGCTTATAAAACCTATTGTTTTTCTGACGTTCTCGTTGTCGTCCCTAATAGCCGATGAGTATGAGCGCCGGGGCGGTTGTAGGACATGATATTTTGTAAAATCGCGCAAAAGTTTACAATAATCATTTAGTTTAGGCAAGTACTTGTTCTTTATGAGATATCCAAATCATTATAAACAATTATATATTGGATGAGGTTTTTGTGATATCCGGAATAATCAAGGCCGAGGTAAGTGTTATCAGCCGAACCAAAGGCACCGTCGCTAGGAACCTGAATTGATAGTGTTATTGGAAATCACGCATTGCGTGCGCAACCTACAGATTAGTCAGTTATCACAGATAACTAACTAATCTGTAGGTTGTGCTAATTTTCAAATTAGCTGTAGGCTCTTAGCCAGTAAGAAGACAGATAGTGAGTACAATGTATAATAAGTATTGTCATTGTATCACTGTTTAAATGTAAGTACCATTGTTTTTAGGCATTTCAGTGAAAACGAGTAGGTACCTAAATTGTTCTTTTCTTCTTCTTCTTCTTCTTTTTTTTTTATTATTATTATTATTATTATTATTATTATTATTATTTAGTGCAGAAAATTCCAAAACTCAGAGCGGAAAAATAAGAAACGAAACGAATTTTTCGTCCGAATCACCCAGATTCCATCAGCGCTGTGAGGTGACAGTTTGAGTAACAGAAAAGTTACGAATCCCCAAGAGCGGATTGTAAATCGATGATAGGTTCAATCCCTCATCCCTATTCGGAATTTTTGATAATTAATACAGAATAACAACGAGAGTCTAAAGCTTAAAAAGTCAAACCAAAATAAGATGACCATTTTCAAGTCAATAGGTTTAAAAGTGCACAAAAATACAATAGGGAGAAGAAAAAAAATTGGGTTGTAAATTGTGTTCTTCTAATCGGACAAAACATTTCCGTCTGAACAAAAACAAAATTCGAACATGTTTTCGTCCTAGAACTTAAAATCAATCAATGTAAATAAATAAAAATGTTACTGCATGCACCACTTTTATCGGTGCTAATTCCTGGTAGCAGGACCTGAAGCAGAGTAAACCTCGCTCCATTTACCAGCAAAGACAAGAATCCTTTGGCGAACTTATCCATGGTGAACGAAATTATTCTATTCTTGCTGATAAGGACAACGCAGTTAGTTCCAACACAGTGGGCATCAACTAATTGACTATGAGACATTCAAGTATCCGATCAAATTGCCGTGGGACAGGGTATGCTAAAAATGAATGTTATTCTACAGTCAAACCTCTTTAATACGGAGAGCAAAGGGACAGAACCAATTGTCCGCTTTACAGAGGTGTCCGTAAATTATAGAGGTAGGGAATGTTTTTTTTTTTTTTGGCATTTCTGGGAGCAAAGAGGACGGGTGGGAGGGGGAGGTGGGGACGCCCAATAGATCTCATTATCAGTATCCCGTATTGAGATGTGACCCTGTATTTGGGTGAAATTTTTTGCTCAGTATTCCAGGTTTTCCCCAGTTTTCTCCGTTTCGAAACCCAGAAGAATCTCCATGTTCTATTCATAAGCATTAAAAAAGGAAAATGTAAATAGTATTGCAAGCATAATGGACAAAAACCAACAAAGAACCTTTGAAAGAGACACAAAATGGCAGGATGCAAGAACCCAGAGTATAAATGCTGAGTTTATAGGCTGCCTTAATACTACGATTCAGACTGACAGAGTTCACATGTAGACCTCCGCATTGCTGTACTACATGTATGTTTGCACAAGGTGAGACACACAAAAGAAAATCAAATCAGCTTGCTCAAAGAGCAAGACGTTAACTCAGTTTACTAGCCTCTGGTGGGGCTCCATGAAGCTAGCCCAAACTGTATTCAGTCTGTTATTTTTCTTAACAAGCCATGAAACTTTGCTTTACCATTGGGCTACTTGTAAAGAAAACAACACAAAAGCCCAACTGTTTTGCCAGCCCTTCATTGTGTTGAAATGAATGCTAGGAACATGTTAACAAATTAAAAGAACTCTAGGTATAAGCTTGCAAAGTGAATTCCGTTAATTTCCACTTGTTGCAGTAAACTGATTGTTTCTCTTTCACTCCTTAGTTATCGTAGAGACAGGGGCACCCAACGAGAAGATAGCTCAAAACCACTTAAACATAGCATTGTTAAACGTATTTTAGTATTTAAACGGTAGATATAGGCATATTTTTATCCCCTAGAAATTTTTCATCTGTTCGGATTTCCTAGCTGAAAGTCTAGTGATCCGAAAATTATAGGGATCAAAACTTACCTTTTCGAAAATTTCAGCCACGAAAAAGGTTCACGAAAATTCTAGGTGACCTTTTAAGAGTAAAAATCCGTTAGAAATGGGCAATTATACCATTTTTTAGATGTTCGAAAATCCTAGGAGAGGCAGGCAAGCAAGAAATTTTACAACAAATGTTCCGAAAATTCTAGATCGCAAATCGTCTTCCGAACACATATTTTCCGAAAATTGTCGTTGGGTGCCCCTGTAGAGACTACAATAACATTTAATTTTCAGTAGATTAAACCTCAAAGAAGGTACCCAGTATATCAAGAAATTGAAGTGTATTTGCACTTCCAAGTTATTCTTTTTCTTTGTCAAAATCAACTTTGAATCAATGGACTGCCACATCATTAAGAATTAAGGATCAATAACATTCAATTTACATTTATCTTTTGCAGTGAGGATCGCTGGACTGCAAGATAACTGTCAATCATATTAAGCAGAGTCCTTCAAACAACAACAGGGCTGTGTTCCAGCAGTGCTAGATGACCCATGCTGGTGACGTAAGCTATTCACAAAAGAAACGTGCTATGCTCCCCGGACTTTATAGTTTCAGAGCTTTAGGGATCACTATGATTGAAGATTGCAGTTGCGGTCGTTTGCAAGAAATATCAGGCAACAATGTTGTGATATTATTTCAGCGGCATGTTCAATATTGCTACCCCAGGAATTGACTCAACAATGCAAGAACATTGCTGAACATCCAACAACCAACATTACTAGGGTCTAACAAAACTAGCTTTTTTACCAGATATTTTTGGTATTTGTTGCTGACACAAAATTGTTGGAATGGGTTTTCTTCTGTGCATGTATCTGTATAAGTAGATCTGTTGAAATTAACAGACTATAAAGATGACATGCTTCAAATTTTAAGTACAGTATTCACAATGGTAATACTGTAAATGTAACATTTCAGGCTTTCATACTAGTTACCATTTTCATACTAAGTAATCACAAAAAGAAATCCAATTTCTAGTAACAAAAATTGTTCATTTTTAATTGTGACTCATACTAGTTACCGGTAAGTATGATCCATGACAATGTTCCCCACAATTTACCCATTTTAGTAGTGCAAAACATGCTAAGATTCCAGCAGTCTGATAGTAATCCCTTTGGAATGACTTTAAAGATACTCAGAATGCTCTACCATTATTTGTACCGTTGACAAAAATTGTCATAAAAATGTCAAAGAGAGTACTTTGACAATCAAACAAGCCATCTAGAAAGAGCAATGCTTCAGAAGGTAATTTGTAAATAGGTTATCATCTGAATGCCAACATCTCTTATCTTACTTGAATTGTAAATGAATGAGGCATCTCTGATGTTTAACTCTGTTGACAAATCCTAGTGTTTATTCCTGTTTTTCTGAACACAAATCTTGTAATGTCTTTCTTCTTCTTTTTGCGTCTTCTTGGTTTCTTCTTCTTTTTCTTAAATCCTGTCATAAAAAATAGAACAATGTTTAAAGATCCATAAAAGTTGCATGAGTAAGACCTTGTCTCCTTTGGAGACATCATGTTCTTAGCATCATGATTATTATATGCAGCCCTGCCTGTCACCCCAGGGGACATAGTCAGGTATAAAACTAACAATATTAAATTATTATTGCAATAAAGTGTGGATCAGAATTGGCAAGTAGCCTGTGTAGCAACCATTTGGCTGTAGTTATTACTCATCCACTTGAGTTATTGTGAAAACTCTTGCAGATGTGCAATAACTTGCGTGGAAATGCTTACCACCTGGGCTAATAATTATTAAAGAGTCAATAATTATTGTGATCAGAGATGGTACATGTGATTGGTAGTTGGGCCAGTATACTGACACCCTCCCTTTACTTTTACATGTATGAATTTGGTGAGGTTTTACTCTCAGACCTGTTGCTTATACCTAATATGTGCACAGAGATAGTTACTTAAGACTCCATACAAATCCTCTAAAATTGGCTTTTGAAGGATTTGCATGCAGTTGTCAAAACATAAGGATGCTAATATCTCACCGTCAATTGGTGCAAACTCACTGATTTTTGGTACAGAAGCATTTTTCATCTTAGTCTCATAGAGGATGACAACAAATCCCATAATTTCACAAATTCTCATTTCTGTTATGTCATTCTTTGTTACTCAATAATTTCAGTCAGGGCTGAGCTGGATGAACAACCACTCAATTTATTCATCGTTGTTAATTTTTATAAACATAATTTATTGACTGATTTATCATTCACACCCCTGACAATGTTCAAAATCAAAATTTTAAAACCTCTTTTTATAAAAATTCTAATACAAATATTACCATATGGCAAAACCAGAGAATTTCGTCCTCATCACTCAAAGTTAGAATTACATAACACGTCTACCCTCAACTAATGAAGCGAAATGGATATCAGATAAAAAAGACTTTAATAAATACCTCCTCTTTTAAACACCTATTCAATGCTCTTTTGATATCATTGCACTCGCCTAGGAATTTCCCAACAGGATGCTGTAAAGAAAGGCGAAAAAAAATTTGTATACAGCACAAGAACATGGCCAAGCAGGCACGTGTTTACAGCACAACACGTTTAACTACTAACCTGTTCGTGACAGCGATGCAGTTGCCCTATAATTTCTAGGCAGTCGCCATGAAGATGAGGCGCCAAAGAGGGATGCATAGCTTGCAAGAATTACCCTTTAACATTAAAAATTCCTCGTCACATAGCCTATAAACAGCTAAATTGTGCTTCTTTGCAAGTTACAACTCTGAACAGAACGTTTAGCAACCACGCCTTCTGAGTATCCTTTGTTTTTTACGGTATATAAGCCACTACGAAAAATGACCCACATTATCTGAACCCGGCTTCCGGTCCCTTTTCCGCTTTGCACTAACTGGATTTTCTAACTTCTTTTAGAACGCCATTTAGTATTAAACTTGGTCAGTGATATAACACTTAAGCGCCATAAAAATAGTATTAGTATATGGCTTATATTTTTATTTTCGCGCATGATTTTAAGGTTGAAGAATTTCCGGGCGAGGTCCGAATCTACGGTCTTGTGATCCACCTCGGTCCGTCCTCGTGACGGGGTTTTCCCCGGAAAACGGGCAGCAGTTACCTGTTATATCGGGAAACATTCATGTTAAACTGGCTACTTCCGGCGTTGGTCGGTTCCAGAAATAAAAAACAACAATTATCGACAATGTTATTTGGAGAGAGTTCGTTGACTCGATCGGTTACTAATGGATGTTCGGCTGTTTTTTTGGTTGTCAATTTGGCTTTTTGGTGGGTATATCTCATTTGTAGACTGATTACTTATGTCTATGTATTTTGATAAGCCACATTTAAAAGGGATAAATGCTTCAAGAGGCCAAGCAGCGTTAATTTGCAAAGACCGCAATACCACAGCAGCTGAAATTCATAAATCGGCAAACTGATCCTTACTGCAAGGCGAGAAGAAGTAAACAAAAGAATAAAACAGAAAATATATATTTAAACGAACCATCCTGCAGGCTCAAAGAAAACGGGAGAGCACCGTTACGCTACGCCAGAACAGAAATCCCAATTTTTTTTCAATTTTTCCTTTTGTTTGTTTGTTTGTTTTTTTCTTTCTATTTTGTTTTTTTAGAGAGGGGGAGAGGGGCCTGGGGAGAATGAGAGATTTCTTTTTACTTTTATATTATTTTTTATTTTTTAAAGTACGTGTAGGCCAGGAGTGGGAAACGCTGCACCGGAAGCAAAAAAGCCTTCCCCAAATAAACTCCGAGTCTTTAAAGAAGAAGTTGTAATCGCCCCACAGACATTTAAGCGTGGTATGACAAACTCGTATAAGAGGTCAGGCAAAAGACAGGACTGTAAAAACAATTCGAATAAAAACTATCTTGAATAGAAAGTACGCCCGAATAAACTTCAGATTCCAACAACCGCAGGGTCCAGCAAGCCA